CCATGGAGACGAATACTTATAGACAGACAGACAGACAGACAAGAGACATGGTTCGCGGAATCTGAGCGTAGTGCCGGCTCGATGTGTGTCAGATGAGCTACCAGCTGAGATAAGGTGTTCAGTCAACAATTCTTTGTGCTCATTTTACAAAGCTTCTGATCATTTTAACTGGCGGATTAAAGTCGGCCTTTAGTAGCAGACTGTTAGAACCACTTCACTCAAACCTTAAAGGTCTCTACAGTGACCTTACTAATACAGTGTTGGAGCGCTCTGTAAGTGCGAAACAGGATATTCTTTGATTTATCAGCGTTAAACAATGAAAAATAATTAAATTTATGGAGCACGTAACACACGCGGGGAAAATAAAAATATATATACATAGAAGTTTGGTCAGAAAACATGAAGAGACCACTCATATATCGGAGGATAATATTAAAGTGAAACTTGGATAAACTGTGAGGAATTCAAATATCACAGGACACGAAGCAGTGGCGGGCTCCTGTAAACACAGTCATTAATATTCTGCATTCACAAAAGCAAGTCACCCCTTACTGTCTTAATATAAAGATTCAGTCCTCTGGAGTTGGTTATTTGAAATCGCATTCAATACAAAATTAATTTAATATAAGATTAAAACAGCATTAAGTTAATATTAGGAAAATTATAAAATTACGAGTATCGGGTGTTCTCAAATGAAAAAAATATTTCCTTGGAGACATGAACCAAATTTTTGTGCGCCATTTAGGTCAGTATCAAACAACCTTAATTTACACGTCTGTTTGAACAGCATAATATAATCTGCGTGTGAATCACATGTGGAATCTGTTCACGACATTGAATCATAGTTATATTGTTGCAAAATATAGGCGGGTTTGATTAGAGAAGCTGTTTGCATGTAATTAACAACAAAAGTGATGTCATGGCAACCAGAATCCTCCTCGTTTACTAAACAAGCACGTCTAGTTTGCATGTAGTCATGAGCTAGCATATTCACTTACAAAGACAAAGCAATATCGCGTATCTATCATCATCAACGTCTCTTACAAATAATTACATTATTTAAGAGTTTTCTCACATAACTAGAGAAACCATTTTATTGATATACATTAGAATTTTTACAATTGTCAAGTTCAGATGTTAGGGTCATCGACAACTTTCCTATTGGTGCATTCTGTCAGATAATAATAATAATAATACCGGGTGATCATTTTACGACTGGGCCGACCTAACATCTCGACAATAGCCCGCCACTCTGCAGGAAAACTGTCGGTTCTACAGCGCCCACATACAAATTAAACGAACACACTGTATGTATCACATACTATGAGTGAAATGGTTCACGAAGTAAGGAGTTGAGCTGATTTTAAATCGTAAGATTAATTCTGGGTGTGGGACACAAGAGGAGGGAGAGGTATGATGTATCTATGTGAGGAGGGGCACGAGACTTTTGGAGTGCCCTAAAAATATATATACACACAAATCTAATATTCCATATTAAAATGTGTATACACCTTTTTGGGACAACCTATATATGTTATCTGGGGGGGGGGATACCGAAATCCGTGTAAACTAGTTTGTCCTAGGCAAAACTAGAAAACTCCTGTCGCTATTAGGAGTTTGGTTGAAGTAGATTGAGTGAGGTATAATTTTAAAATGCAGTTCATAACTAAAAGAATGTAAAAGGTATTCATTATAAAGATTAATTGGTTAACAATGTTTAGGAAAATAATCCCTGTTTATTTCAGCGGTCACACAAAACCCATAAACAAATTCTCCGCGAATAAAAACAGTCACTGAACGTTAAAACAGATAGTAGACACGATTACCGCTGTACTTTAAATGGTTAAAACATTGAGTATCACTTCTCGTACAGAGCATCCATTTGAACATACAAGGAAGTGCTGTGATGAATTACCCGCTACAATGGTGTTACGTAAGCGCTCTTGTTCCGTATTTTACGAATTTAAACAGCTGACATAACACAATGCGAAACAAGATATACTCCCTGTGGTACCAGTACAGTCACAACCACGATAATAAAATAAAATGTCATGACTTAAAGACTGTGGTGAATCCACAATTCCTGCCCCAAGTTATCTTTTAAAAAAAATTTCTTAAGCATTGCAACAGAACTCTGAATCACCCTGTATATACGGCGTATCATGACCCCGAAATCAATATGGCGGAAGGACGGTTCATGGCTCAGGTTTTTCTTAAAATAAGTTGGAATGAAAAAGGATTTGATGTTTTCAAGGCGGTGTGGACACAGACGCTGTTCTTATGAGCTACTCGGCCTTATAATCTGGATGCCAGCACCATTCTCCTGAAGATACATGAAAAGGTCATATGTCCCTAAGAAACGTTGGCATCGTTACAGAATACTACACGGCGCAACAAGTCAGAAGATAATCATGTACCTAAATAATTAAGTTGTTTACTTTATTTACAATATTAATAATCTAATATACAAACTTTTCCTCAGTGACTCCTCCCTCCTAAAAAAAAAAAAGAATAAGTGCGACCGGATGTAACTTCAGACATTTTCTGTATCAATTACAGTCTTTAAGCAACGAAACAAATTTGGACATAGATCCTACAAATCATCTCAAAGACAGAATAAGTTTATACGCGACACATATGAGTTAAATACCGTGAAATTATGAAGTTCGTCCGAGAAACCAAAAGTAAAACACGACAAATACAATAAATAACGAAATTCTTATCTGGCTACTTTTCGAAAACAAGTCCTGTCTGTCTTCGAGTTTGCAGCGCCGTGCAGCCTGTTAGAATTTTAATAAAGTTTCGGCGGCCCTTGTCACCTCCGTCATCGGGGCGATGTGGCAGAAAGGACCTCTGAAAATTCTCTGAACATCCATCAGACCACACGCACGCCGCTTCAACCCAGGAGACAGCCATCTTCCTATCTAAACTTCGTGCCATGTTCATTCTTTATTAATAACATTATACGTCCACCGTGAAACTTCGGTTGCAAAAAGCTCTCTTCTCGTCTCTCCTTATCTTATTTTTAGAAATATGTCTTCCACCTCCCCTAGAAATGGGAAGAGAGTAGTAGAGACTTTTTTTTTCTTTTATGAACAAGGAAAAACCCGCACTGAGTTAGTTTCCAGAAGTCTAACTTTTTTTTAGTATCTTCTCCACGTTTTGTAAAAGTCTGCGTCAAAGCTAAACAGAAACGTGGAGTGTGTCAGTAGTAGGCCGCATTACAATGGTAATTAGACGACCCTAGAAACATCAACACACAAGTGCGGTGGCCGTATCGTGCCACAGTCCCCTAGCTCCTCAATCCACACAAAGGGCCCATGCTACTTTGTGAACTTACAACAAAATGTTTCGCTTGTCGTGTTCAGAAGCATCGTTAAACACTCCATGAAAAGCTGCAGTTACGTTAACGAACCTGAGTACTTTCATTGAACCATACGTAGCAGGGAAATGCATGGAAGTTGATACAGTTACTTTTTAATAATATTAACTTCCATCTCACCCCGATTTCTTTACGAATAAAATAAAATGTATTTGACTTGATGTCCGAACGGCGGTGAAGCTATTGATATTGGTCTTCTGGGTTGTAACGCCATGTGGACATCTACGCAGATACCAACGTTTCGGAGGAACAAACTTCATCTTCAGGTCTGAAAATTAAAACATGTCTCTTCTTACGTATCCAGGCGAGCCCCTCGCAAACTGCTTTTCTTGACAGCGCGCCCCGTTCCTTTTTTCCTCACAAATAATAAGAATGTGAGATTTCAGGTTCTCACGGCTACCAGTACCATTCGATACTACATATAAAAGCTATTGATAAATCGAGATTCAACAAACCAGGATTAAATACATCATCGTATTCAAAAAGTAACCCAGTCACCCATCTACCCCACTATCTACCCTTCTCTCCAGCTATTTGTCCAACCAATCCTCCTCTCATCCCATCGATGATCTAATTCGTACAGATCGTTTATACGAAGACCGATTACGACCAGAGAACCACAGACGTAAATACGTCACTGGTTCATAACAGCAGTTATAAGGTTGCAAATGGAAATATTCATCCAGAGTTAAATAAACAGTCGAAGGAACTTCAAAGCGCGTGAGGTGGTGTATCACTCGATAAAACGCTTTGAAAATAATATTAAAAATTAAAGCCAAAACCATTAAAGCCATAACGAAAACCAATATTCGATATCTCTTTTAATCTCATTTGCAAGCCACTTCCATTAACTCCACCACAGAAATCTTTGTAGATCGATATCAAATGCGACAGAAAGCCAGTACCTTCGGGAACACGACGGTTAAGAGCTGCAGTGACTCACTTGTCCGTCCCTCCGTCCATTTATATTGGAAAGGAGCGCAGGAAACCTCCGAACACTTTCTTCACCTTTGCAATGGTTACAACACTGGCCACTATGTTGTGACGCCCGTGATCCCAGTTGAGGAATTTGACACAGATACTTAATGATTTATAGGCTAACAAAATAACGGAAACCATTAACCGAATAACACATATAAATGCTTGTAACTATTGAAAAATATTATTTAACACCCACGTTTTTCATTCTTGCAATTTTTTTTCTCATAAAACCGAAGACTAACCTACCAAAATGCATGACCGAAACATTCCCATCGTCTGTTTACAAGAATATTATGTACAACGCGTTTTTTTTTCTAAATGGCACAAAATTATTTATACTAAAATTATAAATCAGTTCTCCCCCCCCCCCAAAAAAAAAAAATGTACATGTCGTCCATTTTCAAAATTTATCCCCTGGACAGGATGCTGGATTCATCCCACAGCGGAAACTAAGCGACAGTCATGCAATTTAAGCACGTCATTTTACGACCTTATGAAAATACAGGATGTGCCAAGCATCCTTGTTTTAAAATTAAAATAAAATTTACCGACAACAATTACATCAGACTCATTTTCTGACGTTTTAATTCGTGATCTACAAATATCAGCGTGTATATTCACCACTGCTTTCGCTTACCTCACTCGAGAAGACACCCTGTAGACTTCCATTATGAGGTCCATTTCACTTTATAAAATCGCTCACAACACACACTATTTGCACTTTACAACTATATCATTTGACTTCTAGTCAGTACTTCTCTCTTTTTTAAACACATTTGTAATACAAATGTTAATCAAACATTCCATCGCATTGTCGAAGTGCTATATAGTTTTTTACCTTAAAAATCTGTGTTATTTTATATTAGATTTCAAAATACGTGTATATTTATCGTATGTCTTCTTTTATTCCTTTCCAAACTCATCAAACCTTTGATGTAAAATATATTTCAAGATTTGTATAAACAATGTTCTATGTCTGCATACAAATTTACTTAGAATAGCCACAATTTTTTAGATTTTGCATTAGAAGATATATTATTTATTGAACGTGTCTTAAGTATGGAAACTTTTCCATTATGTACCACGTGGTTTGTCAGTTTTTATTTCGCTGACATGGAATATGAGTAGAGAAACAGACTCTTAAGATGTTTGCTAAATATAAAAATGTCTGGTTGTGTTGCATTAGTTTCCTTAAAATAATAAATTTATTTAGCTTTATAAACTAATATAATTGATGTGTCCCCTAGCTCGGCACATTTCCTGAACATCCTGTATGCATGATATTTTCAATATCGCGAGTCTAATTTTTACTTTATAATCAGCAGTAACGATTTAGGATACGATCTAGAGGAAATAAGTTTCTAAAATAATGTCACTCTTCATTCAAACAACAGAAATCATTTATAAAGTGTCAGGATTTACTGGGTTGTATTCCTGTAAACGGTTTCTCTGTAGATAATTAGGCCTGCACATATATTAACAGAATGTTAGGTTACTTTTAAGACTAACTGAGCAAATTAACAGTACTTTACGACATCTAAACCAAAATCAGGTGACAAATGTCAATTACGACGAGCCACGTTTGTAATACATCACTCACAGCGTTCATAATTTCTTTGTAATTTATTTTAAATGCAACTTGTACATTTTACTATGATTTCTGATGGGAAATTCGACTGGTTGTCAGTCTATTTATCCACGTAATCTGTCACAGTACATTTGAACTGTTAAAACAAAGTTTCACTCGACGTTTTACGTAACGCACAGAGACATTTCTATGCCCAATATAAATAGCGACAGAATTTTTGCATTTGAAACGCGAGTGTATATTTTATAACGGCGGGGTTCCTGGCTTTGTTTCCTGATTAAAATCTATGATGAAATAGTCACGCTGTTCAAATGACGTCACTGAATCTGATACATTCAACTAGTGTACATGTAATTTTGTCGTTTGAAAATCTCGTCTTTTCTTGTTTCTATCTTAGCGACAACCTCTTCCATCAACATGCAACTGTTTGTCAATTTGTTAACTTAATAACACTTCTGTTACACTTAGAGACACTTATTTTTAAAATGAGTCGGTTCAGTCACTTCCTTAAACGAATGACACTTTGACAGGGGGCCCAAATTTCGCTACAGTTTTGCCCCCTTTAATATATACCTATCTCGACAGAATTACACTGAGAATTATTTTATACCAAGCAACATTTATTCCTACAAAACATGGCGGTGTAATCACGTTGTTGACTGAATGACGCTGTTGGGGAATTTGTTATTATGACTGGCACTGTATATGTGAGTACAGTCACTTCATTAACAGAACAACACTGAGTCTAGTAATTTTGGTACAGTCACCGATACTTTGCCCTTCAAAGTCCGTCACGACAGCCAAGTTAATGGAGGAAAAAAGTAGTCGGTCGCGTAGCCCGCCTCTTAACGGCACTGGCTTAGTACAGTCACTGGTACTGGATCCAATGATCAGGATCCCGACGTGGTGTGGGCACGCGCATGCGTACTAAACATCAACAAACTCGCGTTCAGGACGAGCAAATACTACAAAGGACAAGTACGTAAGTACAGGTCTTTGATACAGGCCGCTCACAGGCGTCGTTCGTTTCGGAATTGTCATAAAGAACAACTGAGACGAGACACAGACCACTTTGTAATGCGTGTAATCTAAACCAGTCTTAGCAGGAGGCCTGTCAGCCAACACAGACGGGCGGTATTTTAGAAATACGGTGGTCGAGACCAATCTCGCTTTTCAATTACGTCACTAGTTTGCGGGTAAGAGAAAACGCTTATGGTAGTTAACCTGGGTCAGCGAGCTACAAAGTACCGCCACTGGAGAATATTATTTACAGTGACGGGTATCCGAACTTAAAATATATTTCTGTCATCAGATCCTGAGTTCCACAAGAAATCTTAAAAAGCTCCACTGATGGAAATAAGTAAAATTCGATGTATTTTTGGTACTACTCATATCAAACCGATTTAAAAATATATGACCCCCTTAAACACAACACCACTACCCATTAGAAAGAAACCCCCCCCCCCCAAGTTTAAGAGCCGTGGGGGATGTGTGGCGTAGTTAAAAATAACACAGCTCCCATCTTTCCTGTTTTATTCCGACTCATTGGCCATATTCATCACTCACTGAGAACCCAAGAGACGCTTCTATTTTTAGAGTCGCTACAGATGCTGTGTTCCTGTTAACTAATATTTCTTGCCAAAGCACAAAGCTAACAGACCAATTTTGTGGATTTGTAAGCAAGTCATTTCACTGCACGTGTCAGCAGAGTCTGTGTTATATGAGATCGAATTTTTATTTTAATCCCCGCAAATAAACAAATGTACGCATCTGACTAACTAACAAACAGACTTCGACAGCGTTCTTTGTTAGTTTACCAGTGTCACTGAATGTGACATTAGCTTACTGCATATACAAACATTTTAGCGGGACGATAAATATTTATGTGTTATCAATTAATACGTAATGTCAATAATTTAAACATTAAAAGATTAAAATATCATATTATGTTCCCTATCGAGTACTCGATTTACATATGGAACTTACACAACATGTTTCGGCTAAAAGTAGCCATCTTCTGGTGTATTATATATAAACTTTTTACTGAATTGCTTTTTACAATTTTAATGACTTTTAATGATTTTTCTTCTGATGTTTTGTCCTTTATATTGATTCATTATTCGTTGTAGTATCATTTGTTGTGGTATCCCAGGTCGCAAATATGTTAATTTTGTATTGCGTATTGATGTCGAAGTTCGTATATGGACTGTGAAGTAAATGTTTTAATATTAATGAAAATGAATATAGAAAACAAAATAATTAGTTGAAATAAATTATGTAGACTTACCAATTAATCTTTAAATTTTATTGTGAATGACGGTTATTTTAAATATTTATATATTTTAATACTATTCACAATATGACGCATCTACAATACCTTATAAATTTAAACATTGTATACGGCGTGTAACTAAAATGGACTCTATTACCTGAAAAACGTTCTTTAAGAGTCTTTTGTTCTATTATTTCGTCATTCACACGATGTCATATTTAAATATTGAGTGAGAATATTAACGTATTAAAACATTAAATCTCTAAAAAAAATTGTTCAAACAATGGAAACAAATCACTGTTTAATAATATATAAGTAATATTTAAGCACTAAGCCCTTACCGCAAATAAAACACAACACTTCACCATTAAAAGGATCAAATTCCTAAGGCTCTTAACAAAAATAATCAGTGTTTACAACGAGAATGAAACAAAACCGATGAATACAAAACGAAGATTTACTGATTGTTTTAGCAGGTGGAAGAGAGGAAAATAATATTATCAAAACCAATGACGTAGTTTCAGAGATGAAATATTCAAACTAATACAAACGCCCTATTACGCGTTCATTTCACGTATTTCTTATTTCATAAAATTGTCCCCAAAAAAAGGCTCACTAAAACCCCACTGCACACTGAGCTCTATAGCAGTTACGGAAGACTCTGCCATCAGGATGAGATAAAAGACGCGGTGAGGTATAGGAAAGGCATAAAGATCTTTCAAATTGCGGGTGGGATCCGTCAAGTGAATGCAATTTTCTCACCCAGTGACGCGGACTGCTTTCAAATCTCAATGAACTTTAGTATATATATATATATAGTCAGTTCTTCGTAATTCGTCTCAAATCTCACTCAAGATAGCTTTTTCTTCAACCGATATGAGAACGCAGATTTTCTGTTAAAAGTTTAATAAAAGCTGACTGAGCTACAAGACGCTCACCAGGTCTCGCTGACCACTGTTTTCACAATCACAGGAGAATAAATCCGATGATTAGAATACATAAAAATGGTCAATATACGCGGCTACATGTCTTATTTTTTTTTATTTAGTGTTCTGTCTGACGACAGGTCCATATGAACAGGATCCTTCCATCCTTTTCTCGGACTGGGACCTGTTCATATACGTTCTTGGCAGATGATCCAGAAGTGGTTTGCCATTGCCTTCTTCTGTGTGTGAATGGAGTAATTGTTGGGATGCCACGGAGGAAAACTCCGTGTTGCCTAGACCACGGCCTTGCCCAACACAAGTTATAAATTCGGGCACCGCCGGGAATCGAAACCGAGACCCCAGGATTACAAGGCCAGCGTTCTAAAAGATAATTTTCTAAGCATTGAAGTAATGAAAAAGTCACAAAAGGCAAACAATTTGTCTTCTCCTCTCACTAGATACCTTCTCTATTTCTCTTCCTAATTTTTCATAACTATCGTCCCATATCCTCAAGTTTTCCTCATTATTATTCTAATGTGTAATATTTTGCGGTCGGTACATGTGGTTTAAGGTTTAAAATCTGAACTGAAATGGTTGACAGATAGAACCATCTTCCACAAAAGTGCAGTCACGCCACGCCAAATGGAGAACTGCTAAGTAAATCAGCGTTACGCAGGGTCATTTTAATTCAATGAGCCTTCGTACAGAGAGCATTTCCTAAAAAAAAAAAACTTAACGTATTAACTATTTTTCAAAAATATTAGATGTTCAACTTAACAGACAGTAGACTCGATTTTATTAAATAAATACAACCAACAAAATATTTGTAATTATGTGTTCTTAAAATCATATACAGCGAATCTTCTTTCTGAAGAAGGCATCAAGAAATTATTGTTTTTGCCTGATCTATTCTTTATCACACGTTCTATTGTTTTTTTACGAACTGTGGAATTAAGCCAAGAAACTATCCACTACGCATGCGCGTTAACGGAGACAGGTAATCGCCTGAATGTGTTTATTATTTGTCAGATCGTACGTGGCCACGGGGTGATTGATGGGCTCTTGTCCTCATCACCTGTTGCCCCCCGGCTTATAGGCTACACGCAGCTTCATTATTCCAACGACATGGCGTGCGTAGGAAGTCCGTCCTTAAACCTTAATCTGCTAAGAGACCTACAGTTGGGGGGCGTTTGCCTCTGAGGTATGCAACTTCATGGCATAGCTCGTTCCTCATCAACATGTTATTTGCGGTTATGAGACCTGGATGTCCTCCGCCGTCACCAGGAAATTCCACCACATAATCCCATCTTTATTTAATATACTTGCGGTTAATTCAAAGACGGTTCCAAGCACCTCACATCGCACAACATCGATGATACGACGAATAATGAATAATAAATTGGAACGGATATGAAAGGAAGCTGGCATGGCCTGATGTAAGACACTGCTCTGGAATGTTACTAGAGGTGCTGAGGAAAACCACGTAACCCTGAATCAGAATAGCCTGTACCGTGTCGAGACCTTGTGGACAGGGAGCAGGTGTTAAACCATTAGACCGTATTAGTTTCATGTAACGTAAAGTTAATTTAATTTAACACAATTAACGCCTGTAACACGGAAGAGTCTGTCTTGTGTTATGGACTGCATACCCAAAGGAATGCGAGATGTTGGAAGACCAAGAATACGACGGGAAAACTCTCTGTGAAACGAAACAGACCTTCTTTTGCCTTCCTTAAATAATAAAAATCATAATAAAATTATTATTATCTGACAATATGGTAAAGTCTGCATGTATATTAACGGTCTAGCGGTTAGAACGCTGGCCTTGTAATCCTGGGGTCTCGGGTTCGAATTTATAACTTGTGTTGGGCAAGGCCGTGGTCTAGGCAACACGGAGTTTTCCTCCGTGGCATCCCAACAATTACTCCATTCACACACAGAAGAAGGCAATGGCAAACCACTTCTGGATCATCTGCCAAGAACGTATATGAACAGGTCCCAGTCCGAGAAAAGGATGGAAGGATCCTGTTCATATGGACCTGTCGTCAGACAGAACACTAAATAATATAAATTGGATTCAGGTGTGATCAAAATCTTCTTGGAGCCACCTCCTTCATTTCGGAATCTCTTCGCAATACAATTTATGAGAAAGTTGCATTCCGTAAATTAAGTCTGGCTTCGAGGCGTCAAATGGATTGGAAGAACGGGGTGGGGGGGGGGGGGGGGGGTTGATTATCAGTCGCGTTTCTGCAACAACGGCGTATGTACGTAAACCTAGTCAGTAGGCTCTGGGTATTAGTACTTTTATTTTTATCCATATTATCGGATACGAATGTAATAATGTACAGAACTCATAAGACTGATGACAACACGCAATTTCTTGATCGTGTCGTGGAATATTAAACGTCGATATCTCATTAAACTTAAGGTTAGGTTCACTTATACTTTACCTGTACAAATCACAAACAGTTTCAGAAATCGGCTGTACCGATTGTAAGAATTTAGGTTTGTGAATTCTGACAATGACATTTTGCGTTGTCACGCCACACAGCCTTTCGGTCGTTTTCCAACGTTTCGGAGGGATATTCTGCCTCCATCTTCACGGATTAAGCAAGGATGCAACTGCCGGGAATCGAATGATGGTTATCCAGAACGTAGCCAGTCACTTAACTACCCTGAAGCAGT